ATTAAATTGGAACTTCTGTTTGATGAAGCGGGAGAGATGAAGCAGAAACAGAGTTTCGAGACCCTGTTTCTCGAGGGATTATACTCGTTCACTTGGAGAGATTGGGCAGCGACAATTTGTGTCTTTCCGTTGGAGTTTCCATCCAACTCTCCCAAGATGATGGAATTTGTCAGGAGTCAGCCTCGTATATGCGAAAAATGCTTCTCGACCTGTCGAGCGCTTTTCTTGCATAAGAGCATGCATACTCTTATGCAAGACATTTCTTCAGCACGGAGAATACCGTGGTATTCTTAGTGCTGCTCCCTTTGAAATATTGGCCGCTCACTCCATCTTCTCTTCCGCCTCTTTGCACATCATTGCAATTCCGATCGATGGATCAGCAAAAGCAGAGCTAATGAATTTCTTCGCGGTGAAAGGCGCCACGTTGAAGGAACCCTGGCTGGCGCGATCGGTCAGTATAAATTGCCTTCCGTCCGGCGAAAGCGATGCCGGAAAGCGAAAATTTCCGTTCTCAAGTTTGACGAACTTCCGCCATCCGCTTACCGCGCCGATTTCCGCTCAGTATAAATCCTCCAGGTTTTGACCTAAATGTGAAGTCTCCGAGATTATTTTCAAAGGTATTTCTTGGGAATCGGGAGGGACGTCAGGGTTGGAGTCGCATTAGACGCTGACAGGCCTCACGAAGGCACGAGAAACGTGCAATTTCCATGCTTTCCGATACCAACTAAAAAGTGTTTAACGAATTTTCTGCCAGTTATTGCGCCCGGCAAGAACGAGACCTTGGGGCAAAGCAAGGTCTACCTTGCAATGCGTTGCAATTAGACCAGCTGTGCTCATCAGTCTGCCTGAAATGTCAGCATTAGAGCCGTATAAGCCATACGAGTCATACGAACCTATGAGCCATTCGAGCCATACGGGCCATGCGACACTCGGAATACATTCCCGTTAATATCCTAGGCAATCTTGAAATAATCACCCTGCTATCTGAGTCCTTATAATAGTTTTTTCTGCTTGAATTTCGATCGCATCATCGTAATTGTTACTAATAAAATGAAACAAACAGAATTCACTGCGTAGTTGTATCTGTTGCATTCATTTACTCGGAGTGAGGCATCCCCTTCATATACCCCCGACTCATTAACTTAAAGATCTCTGCTCTTCCTGCCGCTGGTTTCACGAAACTCGTGCTGGTGTGCTTCTGAGAAACTTGTGAATTTCGTTGAAATTCGCGATGCCGAAGCGAGGCACTGTGTAAATATTGCAAAGAAATAGGACATCTGAATTGGGCCGGAGTGAAGTGGACTCGTCGCCTTGCGCCGTCCTCGCGTCGGTCTTGCATATCCTCCAGGCTACATCCAACATCTATTTATATTCATTCGTTGAGCTGGCCTCTTGCAGTTGGTTTTTGTACGCCTTTTTTTATTGATAACTCGCGGATCGATGGGTATCGATACGGAGAACTTGCTTTGAGTTTCTTGAGCTATTTCCCGCATTTGTGTCGGACGAGAAGGCCGGAGAAGTCTGCGCCTTCTGCGAGGAGTGAAGTCCACTCTCATGTTTTCAATTACTGACTCCTTTTCGACGATCGTACGTGGTCTTTAGTGGAACGAATTTGCAGGTAATTTAAGAAGTCGAGATTTATCTTTTGCTATATTCTGAATACAATCTGCACGGAATATCCGGCCGAACGACCCGGAGAAACCCAGAATCGGTGACTCCTCCACGAAATGCTATTGCTTGCTTCGTATAAGCCGAGCGAGGGGTGCCTATCGGCATGGCGCTTTTTTAAGTCTCGTAATAGAGAGTTTTGGTTACCCGTTCTTGAGAGGACGGCAAGGGATGTAGGACGGCTGACGTCACTGGTGACGTCACCAGCAGTTTTAAAACGCGTGAGGAAGACGTCTAAGACGTGGAAGGACTCTTCCAGCCGTTCTCTCAGGAACGTGATCGCGACGCAAGATCCACCAATCAGGAACGACTTGATAGGCACGTGAGCTTCGGTACAACGAGTGATTCGTTCAAGTCAGTCATCCAGGAAGGAAAGCTACTATTGATGGCGAAGCAGTTGAAATTCAAGGCATAGTATGCCCAGGTTGGATTTCTAGACAATTGTCTGCAGCAAGGGTTTCCCGACTGATAGAAATGTACGTTTTGCTCGAGATGTGTTTCTGAACAATATCTCACATCCACAACTTTGGTTTTAGCCAAATATCCCCCAGGACAGCAACTGACATGTCCTATTCGCCATCAGAGAAGTAGGATGCTACCCAGACATGAACTTCGGTTACTTTGCTATGAGAGACGGACCAAAAGGAAGCATAATATCTTATTGGAGATGGTGAAATTGGGAAAATAGGACAGAGGAACTCTGGTTGTAGCCAAGGGTTGCAATTTTACATGTGACCATGATGAACAGACAAAGGAATCAAGAACATTAGTCCAATAGACAAACTGAGGCATTCATTCCTATAGTGAACATCCTTCTTAAGGAAAGAAAAGTTAATTGCAATAGATCAAAACAGGGGGGAAATGCATAACATTTGGATATCTGGGGATTTGTGGGTTTACCAGGTTGTATCTTAGCTGTGTATCACTGAGTCGACCATACCCTTAAATTAGGTGTCGTTTGCACACCATCTGCGGTGAGATCCATGGATGTTACTCTCCGTTCCAGATCTGGAACGCGTAGCCAAACTGCCATTCGAAAATCTAGAACTTGAACGCCTAGTAATACGTTCGCGTCCCCGTCCTCCTCAAAAACGGGTAACCAAAACTCTCTAATAACTCTTTCTCTCCCTCACGACAGCGTATCACTTATGGCGCTTGTAGAGTGAAATCGTCGCGGTCACACGGGCATCCGTAGCAGAAACCTGTCAGTTCCTCGCATCGTTCTTGTGTCGATTTTTGGGAAACGAGTCTTTCCCTGATGAAGACAGCTGCCATTTGCACGCATCTGATTCTCTCGTACGAGACCTACTTCATGACGTCCGATCGAAAGTGAACGCTTCCACGTGTTGTTCCACCTACTGTACGTACGGTGTCGTGCAGAAACCATCCTCTCTCCTCCCGCTCTGGCCTTTTTTTTTTCTTTTCTCGTACCACGGTCCGCAGATGCAATTTCGATCGGAGAAAGAAGTGAGGTATCCGTCCAAGGTAGAGGCAATATCGTTCCATGCATGGAGCCGTGCGATGAGTCCCTCTCCGAAAGGGAGAGGGAGGGGAGGGGTACGACGACACGATTCCAACAACCCCGTTTCTTCCACCTAAATCAGTGACAACTCATCGATATTCCACCTATTTCGCTTTACGTCGTTTTTTTTTTCCTCTGCTATCCTTATACGATTTTGCATTATTTTTTGGAGAGAGGAAGTGGAGAGCGTTGTTTCTTCGGCACACGAAACAAGAACTTGGAATGGTTACGAGCAATTCTCTCCCAGAGAGGTGAACTTTTATACTGTGGAGCTTTTACTGGCCGTGAAGGATTGGGAATCCCCTGGGAAGACCATAAATCCCGTGACCGAGATAAATCGTAAAGGATCGTGGGAATTTCCAGGGCCGAGGTTTCGTAGAAAGACGAACTTTTTAAACGACCTGCCTTTGAAACTTCCTCTGGATGCAGTTCCTCATATCAGTGCGATCTGCTGATGTGCCCCTATCTGCACAAAAACGAAACGCTCCACCAGGGTCGATCGTTTCTTGGGTTTCGCTGTCGGAGAAGTGGGATTCATTGCCGACCGTATCTGCGATTTTGGCCTTCTTTCAAGCTTCGATATGCAGACGCCTTGCGGACAAGCTTTCTGCTCGAGGGTTGGACCCGTAAAGTTTAAGGGAGAGGAAATAATTTATTTTATTTATGCCTGGGAATGTACGTACTCGGTTAAAAAGCGTGACCTCACTTTAGGCTGCTACACTACATTGCAACGTACAGTTCGCACGGTGCAGTCGATCGTATTCCAGAATAAATGATGAAAAAGGGCATTTTCTGACGAGGATGGGCCCGGGGAAGTTAGCAGAGATCCTTTCAATTCGTTCTTTCGAATGCAACCTACGCATCACCAGAAGCACGCGAAGTCTCGTGTACTCAGTCGGATTTTACGAAAGTTTCTACGTTATTCCAGTTCAACGCGGTTCCAGTCTTTATTTCTGTTCGGCCTAATTTCGAGGTTTTCTTTCGCCTTCGTTCCGGTTGGTGCTATTATGTTGGCATTGTAGCGGTACGACGTTATACCGTTTCCGGTAACGCCTCCATTTCCGGTATTTACCGCGAGGTTTATTTGTTAAAAAAATGGCTACCCGTGGACTCATTATATTCCTATGCACAGTATTTTGGGATCGATTAGAAACGGCAAAGCATAAAGGTGACCATTCTACCCATGGACATATAAACGATTGAGACATTCCAGCTCAAGTGGTCAAGTTTCAGGAACTTTCGTTGCGATTGGGATTTGCTTTAGAAAATTTATGCATGGTGACCTCTCAGACTTACGAAAAAAATCCAAAATTTCAGCACTATAGCACAATCGGTTCTCGATTTCATTTGACCCTAAAAAAGCATTTCTAGCTCAATTAGAGGCAAAGATAGCCGTTTGACCCATGAGGTCAAATTTCCCTCAGGGGATTAACTTTGAGGCAGAATACTTCGAGAATCGTTTGTGCTAGAATCCTGAAACTTGGGATTTTTTTTCGTAAGTCAGGGTGGTCACCATGCATGAACTTTTCTCAAGCTGGTGAGGCGTTTCAGCGCAAACTTGAGCTGGAATGCCACGATTGTGGACAGAAAATGTGGATTCCTTTTTTTTGTCACAAGAGGGATTTTGTTTACATCCAATTGCAGCGTCACCATGGATGGAAATATGAAAAAATGATAACGAAAGGCAAGCGAGATGAGAGGAAGCGAGGGACCGTCACTGTCCAAATCTGGCGCCATGCGGAATTGGTGGCAGACTGAAGCGCGTGACGTCATCTGTCGCTAGTCTTCCTTCACTCTTAACGTTTATTGAATGCGTGTTGCAGAGAGAGAACGGGGAGGGCGAAGCCAGCAACCACCATCCCCCGACCCCGACGACGGGGGATTTGAGGTTCGACGAAAAAGGAAGCCTGGTGTCGGGAACCCTGGATGCCCTTGTGGAACACCTCAAACCCAGCCAAGATTATTACCCGGATCACACGTTCGTCTTCGCTTTTCTTCTTTCCTCACGCCTTTTCATCAAACCTCATCGGTTACTCGACCGCATTCTCCAGGTGAGCCTTCAGCCTTCGAACTTTGCGCTGCCGCGACACATCAATCCGGTGGCGATTCACGCCCTCGAATTTCAATCCTCGTTTCCCCTCCAAAAGTATCTTTAGCCTTTTTTCTCCCAGCCCCACCTGTGTGTTGTTTAATTACATCTGTCGTTAAGGATTAACCCTTAACCCTTTCAGACCTGAATTAAGGCCACTATCGGAATAATATATAAATTTTTATTTTTGAGCTCTATTGTAATTTAAATTTTTATGTTTTATATATAGTTTTTATATTTTTTAAATATAAATTTACCATATCATACCATATATAATATATTATATATCTAATTACATAACTGAAGATTAAAAAACTGACGGGTTAAAGAAGGCCTCCGATGGAATTGAGCCATGCATTATTGCGCCCATTGTAGTGTAATATAGGGCGCACAGTCACGAGAATCCCAAGAAATTACCATAGACGCAATGAAAATCCAATGTCCATTGGAATGGACGCCAGGTCTGAAAGGGTTAAGATCTAACAGTCACTTTGAGTTCCTGCATCGCATTTCATGGATCCTAAGCTGTCGCGATTCAAGTACGATCGAGAAAACAAGCAGACATCAGCCATCATGACAAGAAGCACTTGCAGTAGAACAAGTAAATCTGCTTTCCAATGGAAATGTTGAAAGGGATGCTGTAAAATATGCTCTCTGAGTTTCCAACGAAAGAAATGATAACATTAGAATGAGGATTGTTGTTCTGGGTGTCTGGAATGGTGTTTGCATTCTAATGACAGTGGCAGTGCCAAAGATAGCCCCCAACTCCATTTGCATCCCAGAAAGAATGAAGCAACGAATTTAAAACATTGATACCTTCAAGTAATGAAAGCATTACCCAAGTGCGAGGAGTCAAGAAGAGACTATACCTGCTCCTTGAGACCCAGGATATCCTTTTGTTGAGAATAATGAATTATTTGAACTTTTTCATGGCTATGGGACTCCACAGGTTGCCTGTGGTCATTGGACATTTATTATTACTGTACCAGGATTTTCAGCTTATGTAGACGAAATAGATTTTATTTTAGCTGGTAGCGTATATGGTGGGAAACATCAATATATAAAGTAAAAATTTGAGTAAGTCATCAGTTATCTGTTGCCTGATTCCTGCATTCACAGGCTTCAGCATGTTTATGAGGGAAAAAAAATGCTGATGATATCCTCCAACAAAGTAAATGTAGAAAGGAGAACCTTGGAACTTAGAAGCTAGCCTTTCTGAAGGCTTAACACAGGAAGAACCCATTGATCTTCAGATCATAAATCCACGTTTCTTTTCCAAGTCTAACCATGGATGACATGAGAGATCTGAATGTCCTAGTCCTTGGAAGCCCCTTCGTGTCCTTGAGAAGACTGTCTTCTTCTAGGACTCCACGTGTGGGATCCGACTATTGGGGGAATGGTCAGAGATATTTCCTTATGACTTCCGCGATGAGAGGATGATGGAACAGGTGAGGAGGCTCACAGAGATGTGTACAAAGCAAAGGTCCCATCAAGGTCATCGGAAGGACATGTCCTTGATCCTTCACAATCTCTTGCATCGGCTCTCTGCCCTGGAGAAGTACGAGGAGCACTTGCAGGACCTCAATGCTCGACTTTCCCCTCGATTGCTCCATCAACCTACCAAGGTCTTCTTCATTTCCCTTAAAGGGGGGGGGGTGTTCATGATGAATGTGAAGAATGATTGGTGTGATTTTATGACAGGAAGACATAATAAGCATATGCAGTGATCCCAAGGTGGTTGCTCAGCAGATGACCAGACTGGAGCTCCAACACCTTTCACACATTGGTACATCATGTCATATATTCTCTTCTTATTTGAAGGATTTTAAAATTTAAATTCAAGTAATAATGTTGCCTTTCCATCTACCACAGTTGAGTCAAATTCTTTTTTTGTAATGCAAATAGCTTTTATTAGTATATTGCACACTTTTCTACACTATTACCAGCATTTAATTTTCTTGTAGGCATGTTTTTTTTTAAAATAACGTCAGTCATAAATAATAGTATTACCTTGGCTAAGAGACTTAAAGCCCTACTGTTGATGTTTTGCAGGCCCAGAGGAGTTTGTGCAGGCATTTGCCAAGGAAAATCTTCATGGGGAGACAGCATCATTCAAGGATGTGAAACAGACTAAGAATCTCGAGGCATACATCCAATGGTTCAATCGACTCTCCTATTTCGTCGCCACTGAGATACCCCTGGTACTACAGACATTTTTTCATTCATTCCTTTTCCTTCCCCCCCTCCCCCCTTCATTTTAAATCAATTATTACTTGGCACCACAGCAAGGGAAGAAGAAGAACCGAGTGCGGGTTGTGGAATTCTGGATCGAAGTTGCAAGTGAATGTTTCAACATTGGCAACTTCAACTCCCTCATGGCCATAATTGCTGGCCTCAACATGTCTCCCATCACCCGACTTCGGAAGACGGTACTGCCCATATTTTGTCTGACACCATAAAATAGATTTGATATGAGATTTTCAAGAAATGTAGAATATTTGCAGTGGGGGAAGGTGGGAAATCGTAAGCTGACCATACTCGAGCAACAGATGTCTCCACACTCAAACTTCACCAGCTATCGGAGCACACTTGCAGCAGCACAATGGAGAAGTCAGTCCACCTCCACATCCTCGAACTCTGACTCTGACGATCACCGTCGTCGTATCATTGTTCCCTTCTTCTCTCTCCTTGTCAAGGATGTCTACTTCCTCAATGAAGGCTGTGCCAACAGGTCTAGCATTTGTAGACATATCTACTACCAATTGCTCATTTAGATGTGTTACCCTCAATTGGTATCACTTGCCTATGTTTTTGCAGGTTGCCAAATGGTCACATAAACCTTGAGAAATTTTGGCAGCTGGCTAAGCAGGTGACAGAGTTCATGACCTGGCAACAGGTCACATGCCCCTTCCCTGAAAACCAAAAGGTCCTCGACTACCTCCAACTAAATCCTATCTTCTCTGAACACGGTCAGGTTAAAATAATATTAATCTCACATCAAATCAGCTGCATGAATATTAAACTCATGTTGAAACTTCTTTAGGTTTGGAGTTGGCTTCTTATGAATGTGAAGCTCCAGAGACTTCGTGTGAGAAGGAGCGAGAGAAGACATTGAGGTTAGTCCTATCCAGCGCCGTAACAAGGGGTGTGCGAGCGCACAGGGCGCCGATTGGCTGCCGGATTATTACAAAATATAAATAAAACTTTAAAAAAATTGGAAATTATCCTGAATTTAAATAAATTAAACATAAATTAATACATAATGTATTGTTGGTGCTGTGGAAGCTGGAGAGGTACAGAGGGGGGGGGGGGGGGGGGGGGGGTAGGTGGGGTTGGGGGGGGGGGGGGGGGGGTGGGGTGGGGGGGGGGGGGGGGGGGGGGGGGGCGCTGGATTGATATTTTGCACAAGGTGCCAAGTATCCTCGGTACGGCGCTGGTCCTATCACCATTTCTGACACGTGAATCGTGAGGTTGGGTGAAGTGGGATAATTGTGAAGCTGCAAAATTCAAATTTCTCTCATACTGTCTTGCATAATTGGGTTATTTTTTGTAATGATGCTTCAACTTCATGTCTATAAATGACACAAATAGCTTCTTTGTAATCCTTGGAAGATGAATTTTTTAATTATAAAAATAAATATCACAAGTATTTCCTGAATTTCCTAAATGGACTCTATTTTGGAGGTAATTGTGACTCCCAGCTTTCCACCAATTCAGAATATTGATAGACTTATTGTAATGGTCCTCAGATACAAGGGCGTAAGAACCGGGGGGGGGGGGGGGCAGGGGTGGCAAATGCCCCCTCACTTTTCCCCCCACTTTTTAAACTTAAGAGCAATGTGTACACTGGGAGGTTGCGGCTTAAGATCCTTTGTGGCATTCAGTGGGGTTTGGAAAGTAAATTTAGCTTGAAGCAAGGTGATGCATGAGGGGGATTGACGTGGTAGGGCGCACTTGATAGGCGCCCAGTGGGAGTTCTTCTTTGTCTCGGGTTCAAGATCTCCCATCCGATTAGACTTCTCCTCCCTTCTCTGAAGTCTTTCCTTGAAGGGAGGTTCTGGAGTCAGTCCCCTTAAGTGGTAATTCTGGCTTGAAACATTTTAATGATGGAACAGTGACTAGAAGTTCAGTGCCATGTCGCGGAAGAGAAGTGCTCAAACTGGAACGCTTTTTGATCTCATTACTGAACCAAAGACAGCAAAATATGAAGAAATTTCAGGAATGGAAAACTTCAACGGTGTTGTATTATCGGTTGTCCCTACGGACAAGATTGCACAGGAACCTGTGCCTGTGCATGAAAGTGACCCTTTTCAGCCGCAAAAATATAATTTCCCTAGAAAAGGAGGTTGGGCATTCAGTGCAAAGTACGAGCCATGTGGCCATGGATTTCATACTTGTCCGCGAAAGGCAAGGTTTTGTGCTACGTATGTTGTGTATGCATCAGCAGAGAGGTCTTTTTCGGCATTGAGGCGGCTCAAGAATTGGATGCAGACGACGACGACACACTAGCGCCTGACAAACGTCGCATTGAGGCATGCACATCAGGATATTTTGGACTTCTTGGAATTAGATAAATTGATGAAATATTTTGCGAAGAAAACTGAGGAAAGGAGAATATTTGCATTTTAGTTTCACATGAATTTGATATCCTGATCGTGTTTGAATTAAATAGTAATTTTTCGAATTTCAGAACTGACCTATCTCATTAGCCTCCCCACTTTCGAGGACGTTCCTACGCCTATGCTCAGATATGAGGAAAAGGAAAAGTTTGCTGGAATGCTATTGAAGCACAATGAAACGGCCTGAATAAAATCCTGCATCTTCTATCCCAGCGACACGTTCCTTGCATTTACATGAGCTGTTCCATTTAGCATTTTTAATAGGCAACATTCCTTTTTCTTGCTTATCCTGGATTAAAATAGTATCACAAGTTGCACAGGGTAGGATTTACTAGAGGTCATGAGAAAAACATTATCCAGCACAAAAACCACTCTGTACAAGATATAATTAGAAAGTCTGAAGTCTGGTGGTCATTGGTTGCACCTTGGTTTGTTTCTCGTTTCCTTCCTGGGGCTGAAAAAGTCAGTTGGTAAACTTGCCAGTGGCCGCCCCTCCCATGACTAGTTTTAAGAAGAGGTTAGATGACTGCGTGGACGAAGCAAAGTGGAACCAATGTAGCTGTAAGTAACTATGTAGTAAGTGGATATGCTTCCACAAAATTGTTAATCTTTAGTTGGAGTAAGCCTGTCTTATAGTAACGCTCAACCTTGACACAGCATGTCACAATATAAAAAATCCCTCCTCATGTTCATACCTGAATCTTGTACACCTTTCAAAGAGCTGTTATTCTTATGTCATCGGTCACGCATTATAGAAACTTGGTTTATTTTACATGTAAGGTTGGGAGTTTTTTAAGCTGTAACCAGTAATTCATGTCTTGATTAAATTAAAGTTTCGGGATGGTGGTGGTGTTTACAACTTAGTGATTTTTTATTAGTTGCCCCTACCCTTTTCTGAATCGCGCCACGTCATGCAACTTGAACAACATCTGCCTCCCCAATGTATCTTCCCCTGGCAAAATCATTGACTGAAGTGGGAATGAAGTGCTTTCTTTTTTCACCTTGGTAAGGGAGGGGGGGGGGGATGCAATCAATAAAAAATCACTACACTCCCCACCTTTTCTGTAAAATAAAACTGAATTTCAATCATGAAATTCATCAGAAAGAATTACGGTCATTTGAAAGTGTGGGTTTTTGGGACCCTTTATTTCCCATTCTCCACTTTTTCTATTGCTTTTTTGAAGATCTTCCACTGTACTGATATATGTAGGCTCATATTACAATACTGGCCAAAAAAGGTTTCTGCTAGGAAATTCTCACATTCGAGCCAATAATTCGTCTCCAAATTTATCAATGGCAGCAATACTCGATAGTTTGATAGTAAAATAATGCAGACAATTCATTTTAATGATTCACTTCAATCTTACCAACGTGACAACACGAAAGGTCAATGTAGCCTGAGTGGTGTCCCTCTTTAGCTCCCGAAAAGGAAATCACAAGTCTTGGCGTACCGCTACCAACAATTGTCCAGTCCGTTAACGGACTGCAAAACTGCACGCTGCATCCAGCAGATGTAGCACTGCATCTGCTGCACTATGTTCCACTGCATTCTAAATTTAAAAAAATGAGTGGTTTCTATTGGATACAGCTTGCTGTGCAGCGCGAACTTTTGGCGGGGCAACGTGTGCCATCCAGCTGCTGCACAGCATATTTCTTGATGCATTGCAGGATTGCATTCCAACAGCTGGACGTGCTGGATTGAATTCTGCAATACAGCTTGCAGTTGCAGCTTCCAGCATACTGTGCAGCACGAGTATGAACTCGGCCTAAAAATAATGTTGATCGAGGGAAGCACTGGGACACTGGGAAGGAAGGACTCCACCATTTTCATATATTCTTAGAGATGGGATGAGGATATAAATGTCTCAAATACCCCATTTCACAGAACTAAAAATTTTTATGTATGGATTTTTCTGTGTACAGAGCACAGTACGGGAGCGGAAGACGTTACGGTCGGGATCGCCGTCGGGGCTCTACGTCTTCTCTATGAAGCAAAAAGCACCAATTGTTTTCATGCCAAAGTGCAATTGTTTGCGACTTGCGACGACAAGCTTCTCTTTCCTCATTCTAGTCACGTCGACTCTCTCCTGATAAATATATATGCTATAAATAAATAAATATATGTATGTAATGTACATTGTAACTCTCTTCTATTGATCTGTGACTATTTTTCTACATGTGCTGACTGCATCTATCCTTTTTTATGGGAATGAAGAAAAGTGTACAATCAGGACTCCTAGTTATTTAATTTCGAGATTGGAAGGCAAGTAAGAATGAACTGGAGGCACAACATATTGGAAGGTATGAGATAGAAGGGAGAGAAGCGATTCCGTTGGGAGGTTTTCTCGACAGATTATGAGAAACCATGAAATCCCCTCAGCGTGGACGAAAGTGGTGCTGGGGATCTCTGCTCTACTTTTATAAGGAATGGATGAGGATGAAAAGAACGCTTCAGCTGGGATCATTCTATCCGCAATTTTATCAACATTATCATTGTTAGAGTCGTGCATTTATTTCTCTAGCAGAAAACAATGAAATTTCATGGCCAATAACTGAAATCAAGGAACGTCTACGTCCGGTATTCATGGTGTTGGGTGACACAACAAATTCATGGTTCTCTATGACTCAAAGCAATATGACTTTTATGGCTCATGAAAGGAGTCGTATGCGTACGAACGAATCTCGTATCATCGAAAGCACGTAGTTTCGAAAACACATGGACTTGGTGATGCAAATTCCGATCCCTTTAAGCTCAAAATCCGCCCCTCACCTACGTTTTGAAATTTGTTTTGTTTGGGATCAATGCCATTCGAGAGGGTAATGCACATACTGCCCGTTCACATTTTGAGACCGGACATTGGTGTAATTAGGTTGAAAAAGGCTGTTTGGATTTCTGATTGCGTTGAATTATGTATGTAACATGGGGGTGGACTTTGTAGCAGGATTGGAATTTGTCTCACCTACCATAGTCGAAAAAAACAGCGTAGAATCACGTTTGGTTGAAAATTATCGCTGATATTCCAGGCAATGAAATCGAATCAGCGAGTCACGTGGTGTAGAATCTACTAATTTAAATCCTACGCAAATTAACATAAAATCTCGTAGGGTCAAAATTCAACAAGAAAAATGTTTTCCCCCAAATCACGTGACGTTGAAAACTCATAGCATTAAATCACGCAGTGTCGAAAATGTAGCATCGAAAACACGAACTATAAAATCTTGGAAAGCGTTTTCCAAGATGACACGATGAAGATTATCGTTAACTCTTCCGGAAATAGAACGAACGTAATTGCGTGACTCTCCACTTCTGACATAAGAGATGCCCTTGTTCGGTAGCCCAGCCGCTAGGGCTGGAGCTCAAGGAACAAAGCAACGTCTAGCATAGGAAGTCGTAATGGTAGCATCTTTCACCCTCTGGAGCTGACGAGAGGTTGGTCCTGGGCTTTACGTCTCTCCATCGTTGATGTTCATTGAATCGACCATAGGCATAGGGATGATAATACGAAACCGAATTACAGCCAATATTTTTAACCATGGAAGGAAAATCGAGGGAGGAAACTTCGGAAGGGATTCGAAAAGGGAGAATTGCGGAGAATCCGTGAAGCTAGCTCTCCATTTAACGCATCAGAATGACGAGAAAATAAGTGCTTAATTAGTGCAACAAGAGCCAGAATTAATGTTTTTTCCTTTTAGGAGAATTGCCAAAAACTGCTCTCGTTCCTAGGGAGAGGACAAATTCACCATGAAACCGCCCATCTGCAGAAGCAAGGAACCTACTTGGGTCTCTGAAACTGAGCATGCAATTGCTGCCTCATTAGTACTTAGTATTTCACCCATATCCTAACGTTTGCCTTATTTAAATCTTAGATATTTATAACAGCTTCGCAGAAATGGCTTCCAGTATCGTTGGCAGGGCCGGCCTTGGGCATGACCACATGGGCACAAGGTGCAAGTTCACCAGGGGCGCCAAAACGTGACTGAATATACGAAGCAATAATGGATGGCACTCTCGGTTTTACTACAGAAAGTGAAAATGCCTTCCGTTTCGGCGTCAATTTGGACGCTAGAGATTGACCCTTATCCATTCTAGGTGGGGTAGGGGGGGGGGGGGGGGGGGGGGGGGGGCG